TTTTCAGAGCTTACTTGATTAGTAAGCTAAACATTAGAAAAAAACTTGCTTAGCAATAGTGACTTTGTAAATCTAAATAAACACTGTAAACCTCAGGTCTTCCCAGTGCCATTTCTGTGCCCCAACATGTGCAAATTAAAGTATACACAATCATGTAACTTTATGCCTCAGATATTTTGCAGTGTAACACTATTTTCCCCATTTCAGTATAGGGACTTTAATTCTGAGGAGTTAAATAATTTTGCACTCAAATTAGTCAAGCAATAATAACCTTGGATTCTAAATTGTATAGCAATAATCTTTTTTAAAAAGAGCTTTCTTTCTTTTTTAAACAGTGTATTTATTTATTAATTTATTTTGGCAATGCTGGGCCTTCATTGCTACATGGACTTTGCTCTAGTTGCCATGAGTCGGACTGCTATCTAGTTGTGGTGTGTGGACTTCACACTGAACTGACTTCTCTTGTTGTGGAGCACAGGCTCTAGGGTGCTTGGATTCAGTAGTTTGCAGCATGTGGGCACAGGAGTTGCAGTAGCTAGAACTTTAGGATCAAAGAAGGAAAATAATAAACCCAAACACAATATGCTTTTGCTATAAGTGCTTTTAATAGGAAAAAACAAACAAACATTTCTACCTTCACAAAAGAGAATTGTAGTTTATTCAGGAAGTGGAGAAGAAGTAACAATTGTCCGGTTGGTAGAAAGCCCTGCACAGGTGACAGACAGGCACAGAAGACAGGGAGAGAATCTTCTGATGGTGCCCCGGAGGAGAGCTGCTGCTCTTCCCTCTGAAGCGCTGAGTTTTCTCAGCTGTCTTCCCAGAGGCAAGTGGTGTAGCAGCCTCAGGAAGGATGCCTCTGGCTGTCAGGAGTCCCCACAGGCATACTGCAGGCTTAAGGATGGAGAAGCTTCTTCTGTATTCATGACAGGCTTTGAAGAGAAGATGAAGGTGGAGCTGTGGAGCTAGATGAGTCAGCTGCAAATATGGTGGTGAGGGTAACAGGGGTGGTGATGGTGGTGATGATGGAGACAATGATGACCTGCTATCTACTAAGTGCTGTTTATGAGTCTGGCATGTGCCAACTAAATTATACACATTCATTGAATATTGATTCCTCAAAAGTTTGAAGCGAAAATACAATTTTCCCTACATTTTACTAAAGGGACTGAAAACCTGGAGAGGTAAACGTTTTGTTCCTCAAACAGTCAAGTGATAATTAAGCAGATAACATGGAATTGAAATTGTGTAGAAGTGAAGTTATGACCAACTTATATATTAAAAAGATAGCATATTAAAAAGCAGAGACGCTACTTTGCCAACAAAGGTCTGCCTAGTCAAGGCTGTGGTTTTTCCAGTGGTCATGTATGGATGTGAGTGTTGGACTGTGAAGAAANAAGAGGAGGATAAGCAACAGTTGACCAGCTGGTAGAAACCCCTGCCCAGGTGACAGACAGACCCAAGAGAGGGAGAGAATCCTCTGATGGTGCCCAGGAGAAAAGCTGCTGCTCTTCCATCTGAAGCTCCGTGGTGCTTTCCCAGCTGTCCTCCCAGAGGAGAGCAGAACAGCAGCCTCAGGAAGGAAAGCTCTGGCTGTCAGGTATCACCACAGGCATACTGCAGGCTGAAGGATGGAGAAGCTTCTTCTATATCCATGATAGGCTGTAAAGGGAAGATGAAGGTGGAGCTGTGGAGCCAGGTGAGTCAGCTGTCCTCATCCTTTCCTGATCCAGATGCAAGCTGATGCTTCTACTTGCTTTTGGGTGGGCACTTCTGCTGGCATTGTTGGGGAGGTGGCACAGGAGGGCATTTCTGCTGGCACTGAGGAGGTGGGCATGGCTCAGGACACTTTGGAGGTGGGCAAGGCTCAGGGCACTTGGGGGGGCACACTACTGGAGGTGGCTGGCAGGGCTGCTTGCACTGCTGCTGCTGATAAGACATCTTTCTGGAGTCTTAAAATCTGAAAGAAATTACATGACAGTGTTCACAAGAAGGAACTGTTACCTGGAGAAAGTCTGAGCTTGTTTAATAACATAGGATAGAATCTGTGCAGTGTCTAAGAATGTCATTTGAACTCTTTAATCCCTTCCAGTGAACTTCTGGCCTCTCTCTCCCTCTTTAACAAATTGTATTATTGGCTCAGAGAAAATCATTTTACATACCACTTTTCAAAAAAATTTTTTTTTTCAAAAAACCTATCAATGTTTTTTCTGTTCTTCTTCTTTTTTTTCCCCTGAAAACAGCATCTTCAAGAAATGCTATCATAAGTTCCAAAATCCTGGATAAGCTCACAAGCAGTTCTCATCATCATTATGTATCATGAGATCCCAGAAGTATGACTTGTGTATAGAGCAAATGGCCACCGGGAAGGATACAAGGGCCTCACACCTTCTAAGATAAATGACTCTTATATAACAGCAGAAGGACACAGGAAAGATACAGAAAAAGGAAAAATACTTCTTTCCTTGTCACAGATTTTGTTACAATCTCTTCAATAAAGTAATTCAAACTCTGTCCCAGAAACTTAATAAAAACTGTATATCACTGTTTTCAAATTTCAAGCTTCCATCCACTAAGGAACATTAAATTCATGACAATAACTTTGCACACACCAAATTTGCTTAGCCAGAATTAATTCATAAGTAGAGAGCCCAAGAATAGAGTTGAACTGAAGGATCACACTCACCAGGTTCTCCAAAACCTATCGGGACTTGAGAAGCAGGAGGATGGCAGTGATGCAGCAGAAGGCCTCTTTATAGGGACCTGCTGCCCCGCCCAGGAGGGAGCAGAGCTGCCACACAGGCCTGGTTCAGTCATTTCCCAACCAAAATGCAAATCCGTCCATAAGTGGCTTCACGGGGACTCCAGAAAGAGGAAATATCCTGCTCCAGGATCTCCTCCCTGGATTATCTTCCCATGACGCACAGCATCCCTGTCTTAAGATCTCAGTTTCAGGGGTTTACAGCAGTGGGAGGATTTGGGAGGTTCTTTAACTTGGAGTCAAAGCCTCCTCTTCTTGATTGGAAAAGATTCCTCTTTGATACCTTTCATCTTCTATGAATTATGAAAGTGCCTGTCTTGCCCCACTTGAACTGGTTGCCATTTTGTTGTACATACTGAGTTGAAAAGAGCCTGGCTATCTAGTAACACCTTTCTCTTTACCTCAAGTCCTTCTTATAATGTTTTCCCTTTGATCCATGACCTTCTAATCTGTCTCCTTTCTTCTTCCAAAATGGACTGAGGGCAGGTTGCATATCATCTCTCCAGCCTTCCCGTCATAGTACTTAGACATGTTCAGTCAAGTGGTGCCCTCTAGGATCCTCCTTTCAATGCTTTTCTCCCTCAGATAAAAGACATCAAGCTGTTTATTGCAGCCTTTAGAAATCTGTTTCACCTTGGGTCCCAGGGAATTCACTAACAGTTTAGCATCTTCTACTTTAATTCAGGTGTTGCCGCAGCCCAGATGCTAGACCAACAACAGAAAGTAAGCTTTTTGCACATAACTCTCCAACATGTCGTGCCATCTACTCCTATATAATTTCTCCCAACTGTCCTCTTTGTACTTTGTCACTCTATGAAAGAAGTTCAGAGCATTGTTCAAATTTTCTGACGTTCTTCCCCTCTGAAATATTGAAAGAACCAATCTGGTAAGTAATGCCATAAAACAACTATTTTTTAAGGAAAGTTGAAATCATTATGAGCCATTCAGTCATTGAAGTTAATTCCCATTCATATACAACTTCTCAAGTCATTAATAAGAATTTCACTGTAATTTAAACCAATTTTTCAGATTTACCATACTGGTTACATGGAATATATGTTAAATAAAACTCTTTCCTGGTCACTTCCTTCATATACTTTGTCAGTGTGCCAGAAAGAATCATAGTTAATTTATGAGTCATCCTGACTGGTACAAGGTGCCCAGATAATTGGTCAAATATTATTCTATGTGTTTCTCTAAGGATGTTTTTGAATGAGATGGTCTTCCCTGGTCACTCAGTGGTAAAGTGTCTGCCTAAGAAGGAGGAGATGCCAGTTCGATCATTGGATCAGGAAAATCCCCTGGGTAAGGAAATGGCAACCCACTCCAGTATCTTTGCCTGGAGAATCACACAGAGAGAGGAGCCTGGCTGACTACATTCTGTAGGGTCACAAAGAGTTGGACACAACTTAGTGACAGGCAAAACTTTTGAAAATATAAATCAGTGGTCTGGGTAAAGGAGGTTGTCCTCTATAAGGTGGGTAGTCCTTCATCCATTGAAAGCCTGAATAGAGCAAAAGTCTAAGCCTTTCTTGGGTAAGATAATCCTCTTGCCTGATGGCCTTCCACAGGTTTTCAGTCGCACAGAGTTTGAATTTGTCAGCCTTTATAATCTCATTCTCTCTCTTTGCTGTTTCTCTCTGTGTCTGTCACTCTCTCATATAAAATATATGTATAGCATGCATTATATTATAATTAAAAAATTTTCTTCTGCCATTTCATGTACATTATTTCCTATGTTCAATCAAGTTAAAAATTCAAGAAGTTTGTGTAAAGTGTTTAAAATAAAAATATAAATATTACATGATACATGTGAAGTATAATTATGAAAAATAATGAATTTTTAGAGAATAACTGAAGTTCAAGAAAGAATGCCCTAGCATGTTCTCCAGCCCTGGCATAATATTTCATTTATGCCTTTTCAGAGATTTAGTTCTCGATAATTCTTTTACAGTTCCTTTGTTCAGCTGGAGCTGAACTATTGTCTTTTCTGTACTATACTCTTGGGCACTGAAGATTTTCATAATAGGCTATGGCTGGAAAAGAATCATATCTGGTTTAGGAGCAAAGTTACAATGCTGGCTTTATGTTACTACAGAATGTGGGAACACAGTTAATGAATGTCCCATTTCACCTGACCACTACAGTCCCCTAGAATGCTGTCTCGTGCTGAAGATTACTTTGCCAGGAAATAAATCATTTTTATTCCGATGTAAATATCAGGTTTAAATTGCATAAAAACAAAAATGAATGTAAGATACCATTTAAGACTCACACTGCCACATACAAGTGATTGAAAGTAGGTTTGGGAGGGGAGAGAGGATCAGAGACCTAAACGTTTGAAACAGTTAAAAACATGCTTAGGGTTTATCTGATGAGTTTGTTTTCTTCTACTCTATCCCAACATGTTATAGATCTTTAAAAGAGAGTAGTTTTAAAGGTTTTATTTTTTAATTAATTAATTTATATTGCTTTATAATATTATATTGATTTTGTCATACATTGACTTGAGTCCGCCATGAATGTACATGTATTCCCCATCCTGAATGCCCTTCTCACCTCCTTCCCCCCTCCCTCTGGGTAATCCCATTGCACCAGCACCGAGCCCCCTGTATCATGCAGCAAACCTGGACTGGTGATTTGTTTAACATGTGATATTTTGCATGTTTCAATGCCATTCTCCCATATCATCCCACCCTCGCCCTCTCCTAGAGTCCAAAAGACTGTTCAATACATCTGTGTCTCTTTTGCTGTCTCACATATAGGGTTATCATTACCATCTTTCTAAATCCCATATATATGTGTTAGTATACTGTATTGGTGTTCTTCCTTCTGGCTTACTTCACTCTGTATAATAGGCTTCAGTTTCACCCACCTTATTAGAACTGATTCAACTGTATTCTTTTTAATGGCTGAGTAATATTCCATTGTGTATATGTACCACAGGTTTCTCATCCACTCATCTACTGAAGGACATCTAGGTTTCTTCCATGTCCTGGCTATTATAAGCAGTGTCATGATGAACATTGGGGTACACATGTCTCTTTTGACTCTGGTTTCCTCGGTGTGTATGCCCAGCAGTGGGATTGCTGGGTCATATGGCAGTTCTATTTCCAGATTTTTAAGGAATCTCCACTCTGTTCTCCATAGTGGCTGTACTAGTTTGCATTCCCATTTCTAGTTTCATTCTTTTGCAAGTGGTTGACCAGTTTTCCCAGCACCACTTGTTAAAGAGGTTGTCTTTTTTCCATTGTATATCCTTGTCTCCTTTGTCAAAGATAAGGTGTCCATAGGTATGTGGGTTTACCTCTGGGCTTTCTATTTTGTTCCATTGATATATATATTTCTATCTTTGTGCCAGTACCATACTGTCTTGAAGACTGTGGCTTTGTAGTAGAGACTGAAGTCAGGCAGGTTGATTTCTCCAGTTCCATTCTTGTTTCTCAAGATTGCTTTGGCTATTCAAGAATTTTTGTATTTCCATACAAATTGTGAAATTATTTGTTCTGGTTCTCAGAAAAATATTGTTGATAGCTTGATAAGGATTACATTGAATCTATAGTTTGCTTTGCATAATATACTCATTTCACTGTATTGATTCTTCTGATCCACGAACACGGTAAATTTCTCCATCTATTTGTGTCCCCTTTGATTTCTTTCATGAGTGTTTTATAGCTTTCTATATATAGGTCTTTTGCTTCTTTAGGTAGATTTATTTCCTCATCTTTCCTCACATATATATTTAAAATATACATCTAAAAATGGAATAATTCTCAACAGAATACCTGGTGAACATTATTGGAAGTCTTTGGAAACCTAAAAGGACAAAAAAATCCACTCATAATCAGGCAAAATGAAAAAGTAAAACAGAAAGAGGAATCAAAACAGGGACCAGCAACCCTGACAGGAAGCTGAAGATGGAGGGGAAAAGCCCATCACAGCGGGGGAATCAGCTGGGACAGAAACGGGCCTTCAGGGGATCAAAGCAGAGGATGGTCTGTGAAAGGCAAGACTAAGAGCTGCATGCATGGTCTGTGCCACAGCCCTGCTCATCCTAGCCTGAATCATGTGTCTCCTGTTGCAGAGGGGGACTGGGTGCTGGAATATGGGGTTTGGAGTGAAGATTCAGGGAGGGAACAGTGGTTGGCTGTGAAAAGACAGCCTGAAGGGGCAGGAGTAAGGAATTCTACAGC